CTTTCTCATGCTATTTGAATTTTTATTTTATTTTATTTTTTATTTTTTGCAATATTTTTGACTTTCAACACTTTTGCAACGCACTGCGCATGCTTTCACGACTGTGTATTTTAAAAATATTTTTTTTGATATACAGATAGCAAGAGTATAATTATTACATTTAGTTTTCGTAATTAAATTAGTTTTRAGACGCGATTTGCCGCATTTCCTTGGGATATTTATTTTATTTTTTTTTTTCCACATTTACTTTCAACCAATAAAAGCAATTTTCCAACGAACCGCACTTTCACTTATTTTTTCTATTTATTTACTTTGTGATTTAATTTTAATTATCAGCTTATTATATCTTAAACTAATTTATTAATTTAATTCACTTTTTAATTACTCTTTTTTTTTATTAGCGGAAGCTTCTTAACTTAACTATTTTAGTAGCATTTTAAGTTTGCTGAGTTTAAGAAATTATTAATTCAAGTTTTGCAATTTTCATTTTTCTTTTTTTCTATATTTTAATATTTTAGCACTTTTCTTTTAGTTTATATTTATGCACAAAGTTATACTTTATTGGAATATATTTTAGAGCCTTTATGATTYTTTTTTTTATTTTTAATTGGACACTGGAATATGCAGGCATAGCTGAAAAGAAAGCGGAAAACAGGATAAAGGATTAAACTTTGCAAATTTATTATTAATGTAATATAATATATAAATAGTATATAATTACTAAAGCTAAAAGAACAAGTATATACATGTACTTAATRTAATTATACAAAATTCCTGTTTTAGAAAGAGAATAGTAAAAATAATTTAATATCACCACTATTGATAAATTTCTCACTAAACTTATGTCTACTACTATATACGTATGTACATACGTTGTATGTATTTGCTGAATTCATAACGCGCAGTTCGGAATCTTCGAGTAAAAGCACATTTCTCACATGCGAGCATGCTGAAACATGTTTGTCAAACCAACACATTGTGCACCGCTTTGCTAAATTGCATTTGTGCATTTTCACTTCAATTAATTAATACACTTTTATCACTTTACAATCACAAATTCGAATAATTTTTAAATAATACTAAAAAAAAAAAAATCACTAAATGATTAATTTCTTACTTTTCCACAAACTTTGATCGCGATCACGTACCAACGCGCACTTACCGACACACACGACTATCAAACAGAGAATGTTAACGAACATGTGTGAAATTGCATTAACATTCGGTCGTTCTGTTGCGTATATAGTTTTCTGCAGTACTGCTCCCCTACTTCGAGATGACGGGGCAACAAATGTTGTATGCGCAAATATGTAAYATTCCTACACTGTAATGTATGCTGTAACGAAATTACTGCAGATCATTCGGCGTGTTTGTAGTAACATAAAACGAATAAATTATATTGCTTTGTTGTATGCGCTAACATGTAACATTCATGCACTTTTATGCATCCTGTAACGAAATTACAGCGGATCACTCGGCGGGTTTGCTGTAACATAAAACGAACTAATTACATTGTTTTGTTGTTTGCCAGGGATTATAACAGTAATTCCAAATTGTTTGTTAACATTTTCACTTCTATGTTGCTACAGAATATATTAATTTGGTTTATCTTACAGTTGTACTATATGTATCAACTAAAACTAATCGAGAGGGCAATGTGGCAGTGATATGCCCGTGCGACAAAAATATGTTGAAACAAAAAACATAAAAATTCTTTATATTAAAAGTTCTAATGTGACTAATCGGAAACACGGTTTTAAAAGTAAAAACAAAATATGTTTATATATACCAACTATAATGCTGAAATAATTTAGGAATTTTTTCCACTTTTATTTTCCGTTGAAAGTCACATGAAAATTATAACTTAAAACAACCAATTTATGCTAACAAACTATATGTAAATACTTTACTCCTGKAATAAAATAAACTAATTGACTTATAATTCGACACATTTTTTGCTCCACTTTATAGTTTCTACATATTTTCTCAGCTTAATGAGCCACTAAAGGAGATACTCGAACACTCGGAAAGTAATTTCACTTAAAAATAATAATAACAGAGCAGAATAAATACCGACACACATATATTTAATTTCCTGTTAGATAAACAGTTAGCGCAGCCAGCAAAGGAAGTGTTGYTGCAATTTTCATTTTATGCTAAAGTCATTAGAATAGTAATAAAACTAAAAGCTATTACACGAAGTAATTAARGTAGAAGGAGGGCTTTTCGCACGCCAGGAGTCACGTTTCGACCAAAGTGATGCACTATGAAATGYAAGGAGTGAAGGCTGCAAAAAGAAGAAGAGAGGGCGAAGCGTGCGGAAAAGTCAACTTCATGCCTGATTTTCCAGTTAACTTGCCTTGTGAATGAATGAATGAATGGATATATAGAGGCAGTGAAATAGATTTGCACTTTCGACATAGAAACCATTTATGATTACTTTCAAACACTTCTGGATGCTTTCATAGTGAAGATAACTACTATGCTGTGTATGATGAACATATGTATTTGTACTATAAGTGTACGAAAGAGAAGTGTATTGGATGTATTATATGAGTAAAAAGATATACAAGTATGTTGCCGAGGAGGCTGCACCAGTGGGTCGTTCGTTGAACATTTCCACACTTAGCCACGAATATTCATAATGATTTACGAAATATGAATGTGTAGCTTTTTAGAGTAATAGACTAGTCCAGTGTTTTAAAAAAATCCACTATTTTTTTGCCTTAAGGTACACTTTATGCTCCGAAAACCATCATTTAATTGTTACTGTAGTGAAGAGATCAATTTCCCTCACCACTACATTTTAGTGTTGAAACGTTCGGATCACTCAACTTTGGCACGTAAAACTTTAACCGCGTTACTCCCCCAACTGTATGCTTCAAATAACGCGGCAAAGATTTTCAGTTCTTTAACATTCCTGGACWATGCTGAATAGTATCAAWTTAWTAGGTGTTGATCCTGCTATACAACGCTGAACCAGAAGCCTCTTGACCCCTTGAAGGATAAAGGCTTTGATTTAAAGCCATTAATAGTGGCTTATGCAAAAAACATTTCCATCTTAATAACGAGTAGGTGTCTGCACTCTCAAAACAGTCAAGAATTTGGCATCGCAAGCYGGTCTGGGGTTGAAACCGGAGAAAGCAGATATGCTTGTGGTWACAAGAAAGCACAAAATTCCTCAATGGARGTGCCCTTTGATTTATGGAACACAACTCTCTCTCAAGAAGCGCATCAAGTACCTTGGGGTAGCCTTGGATAGCAAGCTGCAAGGTGTCGATATTCAGGTCACAGAGTATGTTCAAATTCGCGTTAAGCKYAGGCATCCTAAAAGATGACTACTCCTCATGAACCTAGTAGCTTAACCACATCCAGTATCGCAAAGGACTAACCTAACCTTKATGTTAGCTGCTTACTTAAACTCTACTTCGGTAGCAACATAAAAGCCAATAGATGCTTGAAACCACTGGTAACACTGAGCAAAAGTATTATCGAGATTCCATAAAGGTAAAAGTAGGATCGATTTTGTGCTCTCGTGGTAGATCTCGTAAGGACCACAAAGGGACAGTTCTTGATATGCAGCATAGAAGGGAAATTAATCAGTCTCTTCGTAAAATCGATCTACTTCTGGCTTATACATATTATAATCCAATAAAATCAATTTTCTCAAATAAGATTTTTCGAATATGAAATGTACTTGGATTTAAAAAAAAAAATAATTTTCAAATATCATGCTTTTCAAATCATTTTAATATTGTATTCTTTATGGGTAATSTACTTAAAGGTTATTTCTGACATGCAAACCTGCTTATAAAGRTTCAAAGTAAGCGGATTGAACCTAATTTTGTACCCAGTCAAGGGCTGCTAAAACGTTAACAATCCTCTAATTTATTTCGGTAATATTTTATTGCCGTTACAACAGCAACAACCAACAAGTAGCGTTCACGCACTAAACTCATCGAAACTCCTATGGACGCAGAGGTCACGAATAAAAATAAATCTATATATAAGTTTATATAATTTTTTTATTTGATTGTGAATTATTTTTAGTCGTTGACTTGTTTAGTGCCAAGAAAATGTTTCCTTTAGTTGTTGTTGCTAGCATTCGCATAGGCAATTGAGCCGAACTTATAACGAGTGGAAAATTCATTAATTATAATTAGCGTACGAATTAATACATTAATWCCAAACAAATCGGCAGTGACCCACAAAATGCTACGTAATTCGACGGCGGCATTRTTACAAACCGAAATACCAGGAAGTGCAAGAATCTCAGCTGCCAAAAKGGAGAAAGTAGGGCACGACGAAGGCGAAGTGAYAGAGTGAGCCATAAAGCGAAATGGCTGGGGTCGGTTTTAGGGGCTCAGGTGCMGTAAGCAACGATTGGCGGTTGCGTTTTTGTTATTGTTATTGGCGAATGCGCCAAATCAATGGTAGTTGGCCACACGTTTCGCACATTACTCAAGCGACTTCCGTGCATTTATCTTAAATGTCGTATTTTATTTATTAATTACCTTAAATACGACACAACGGTGGGTGACAACAGCAACAACAAGAACCAGAACAACTAAATCAGCAACAAATCACGACGAATTGTTGGAGCGAAAGCGCAAGTGGCACAGCGAGCGTTGAGATTGTGTGAGTGCAGCTTTGTTTGCGCAGCTGTTTTAGTGCGGTGTGGCGGCAGCATTTACTGGCAACCAACAAAATGGCCAACAGCAGCAGCAACAACAAAAACTAACAACAGCAAGAACATTTGCAAAGGTTATAACTTAGCATTGTGAGAATTTATTTACTAAAGCGGCATTCGAGCACCTTTATGCGCTGAAACACTCACACACACACAAACACATAAATGAATACATGGCTAAGTATGTGTGTTTACAGTTATTCATGTTYCGCATTTACAGCA